ACGTTTAGTACGTAGACCTTTTAATTTTTGCTGTTCTTGGCGATAAGGCAACCGGTATGCTCGTCTAGCTCAGGACAAGACTGCTCTTAACTAGGATACGAGAAGGTCATGCTGAATCCCTTCCTGGCTTGGGCAACCTTGCTGGTGTATTAATCTTCCCTTATACATCGTAGACTGACACCTTTACTACGATGCCGCTGTAAACCACAAAGGGATTGGGGTAGAGGTAGCTCGCAGAAGTAGTAAAGAAAAAGAACTAAATAATTAGGCTACAAACTACTGAATGATGAGCAGACTGTGAGCAAGGAGGTGCGATATTACGTCAAAGGACAGGAAGTCAGAAAAGATACACAAGGAATAAGGAAGACACAAGAGAGGAGCTGCATAGAAAAGATTTGTTTGAATAGAACTCAACTACGTTTTATATCTGATATATGTTGTCCCATTTATGCTCAACGGTACGTATATCTCCGAATATCTAGGTCGGGAAATCAACGTGATGAACGACTTAGGTCCTGAGTTAGGCAGAAGGAGGTGAACGACTTGGGTAGCACTCGAGAGATGCTAGGATGTAGTAAAAAGAGCAAAGGACACTCGACTCCGTGCGCACCTTTTCGACTCGACGATTCTTTCAGCCTTAGAGTATGCTTTAGAAACCTGATCGCTGAATAAGCAAGATGAGAGGTCGCTCAGTTTATTGAACGTGAAATCGAGAGAACGATTTCAGGCGTACGCTCTGTCACGGAAGAGGGAGAAGACCCGAAGCTCCGATCTACGACAATGATTAAAAGTCGAAGAAGCCGTTTTATATGGCAAACTATTAATGATAAGGTGGGCCGAACATGTAGTGCGTATGAATGGCAACCGATGCAGGCGAGCTGTTAGTAACTGGATTCCCCGGAATGTCAAACGTACTGCAGGTATACCAACTACCCATTAGTCAGAACTCTTTACGAAAACCCTAGAAGAAGGATATAATGTTCAACGAGTCCCCAGAGCGAGCAGAACCCACTTTGCTGCCTTTGCAAGCAACAGTGAGATATGAAAGATTTACTGGCAGTCGCTTAAGTTACTTGACGACCAGCGGGACTACAGGTGAAACATATATGCTGTGGTGCTGCAGCAAAGTTATGAACAATTCGTTTTCTCTGTCAGCAATCGCGAGGTTGTTAAAGTGCGTACGTTTACTTCCATACAATAACACACATAGAATACAATCGTAGCTGACGCTTCGGCAGTATCGCACTCTTCAGAGCCTGGAAGGGCATACTGCTATACAATTTGCTACGTCAAACGCTTCAATAACACATACAGAAAGATGAGAATCTAAATGGTAGTCCCACGGTCAACAGCTCCTCGAAAAACCCACCGTGTTTTACGTGTCTTCCACTGAGGAAGGCTGATCAGCGTCGCATATGGTTGACGACTGCACCGTCCCACATCAATGATCAATACGAAGGTACGAGGCGAAATCACGTGTGATCTCGACGCAGTCCTCCCTGTTGTTCATGTTAGGCTTTTTGGCCTTTATCCAAAAAGCCTCAAGAAGCTTGCGCGCTAGTGTTTTGGCATCCTGTGCGAGGATAGTGACTTTTGTATCAAAAACGTCTCCGCTATGCTTTTGTATCCTATGCGTGCCTTGTCTTGCTTTCCGTTTGCCATCTAGTGGTTTTTTATGCGGATACATAAAAATCTGCCGTTTCGCCAATGTATTCATCTCCGCAATTATTACAAGAGATCAGGTATATCGTACCTGAACTCATGCAATCACCGCCCCTGCCGTAAGGGCAAATTATGCGATTTGTTGTTTCACATAAATGGTCATACAGGCGGTTACGAACTAACTGACGACGTAGAGTAGCCGGTGGTATTTCAACTATCGCAACCGATTCCTCTAGACCTGCCCCTCTTAAGCACCGTTTTATAGCTATATTTACTTCATCGCTAATAAAGGGCAGCATAAACGGGATTTTCTTTTGGCCAAGTGTTTGGTTTTGGGGCGCCGCTGTCACATATCGTCGGGTTACAATATCGTAGCCATTGGAGAGGACTATTTGCCGAGCCAAGTCGCGCGATTCCTCCTTTAGTTCCTTCTTCGTACACACGGAGATAGCTGTTCGAAACATGTTTCTCACAATCGCCCTTTTTGTGTGTGAAGGATGGGAAGAAAGGAAATGAACGAGGATGTTTTTTTACTTGGTTTTCGGTACCACTCTGTGATGTAACCGCTACTTGATAAGTTGACTTGAACGTTAAGAAATGGAAGCCAGTTCCCTTTTGGTTTCTCCCAGGTGAACTTTTGATGTACTCAGACTGTTCATTCAATAACTCAAAGCATTTGTCCATCTCCTCCTGAGTAGACAAAATGACAAAACAGTCACCTATGTATCTGCAGTAGAGCAGCGGCCGGAGATCGATAACGGGGGTTTCTATTCTAGACACGAACACGATGGCAAGACTTGGTGCCAACCGCTGTCCCAATGCCAACCCTCTCATTTGCGCGTAGTATTTCCCAGACCATCTGAAGATCGAGCAGCTTAGGCACTCCTTTAAGAGAGCCATAAGCTGCTGGATGGACAAGCCATGCATCTTTATTCTTCCTTCATGTTCAAAAAGAAGTTCGTAGATGGCTTGCATTGAGGAGTCATTCGATACGTTGGTGTAGAGCGCAAAGACATCGAAAGACTCCATCACATGCGCGTTATGAGCTGGGATGTGGTTAAGCAGCTGGGTGAGTATTAAGCTTAGAAAGCATGCTATTCTATCCGTTGGCCCGTCTACGCAGCTGATGATGGGTCTAACCTTGAAGGATGTTGGGTTGGTTGACACAAGATCATCAGCGGATACTAACTGATGTGTTTTAATAAGTATAGGACGGGACACGTTGGTCTATCTGCTTTATAGTGTAAAACAACGGATGGTTTTAAGGCTGCTGTTTTTTCCACTTCGACCCATTGGCTGTTAAGTTCTCGGTATTGCCCTTTGCATTCCTTTTCAGATGTTGGGCGATAAAGGGTAGCATCACTAACATGCACCACTGTTATCTCAACATCTAACTAGCGAGGAATAACTATAAACTCTCCCTCCTTATCACTAACTGATAGTCTAATGGTCATTGGATTAATTAAATCCCTAATTTCTCGCAGACCACATTTTTGTGCGGCTGTGAGGTTAGAGACAAACTTTCTACTGCGATAATGATTTAGGGTTTTGAGAACGTCGTCCAAAAACATGCGAGATTTCATATCAACTTCCACGTTAGGGTCCTGCTGTCTAAAAACGCTCTAGGAAAAGGAGGCGGTGGTTGCCTCGCCACTTCTTGGCTTTCTTTCTTATTCAATATTTCCTGCTTGGTCTGACAGCAAAGTCGATCTTGAAACTCGTACAAACTGCATGCGATTCAAGGGACGATTGCCTTAGAAATGGGTTGTAATGGTGCAAAGCTTGTACCCAATTCTAATAGTGAGTGCGCGCTTTCAGGTATGGTCATACCCCCAAGTATGGTGACCCTGGATTTCTTGGTTCATTGTCAACCGCATTTTAACTGCTATCAGGAGCGCAAAAAATTCGTTTGCGGTTTCTTGAAGCCGAGATGTGTGAGTTACTCAAAAGATTTTCGAACTTTCGTTGTAGAGTTATTTTGGCATTAGACCCAATATTGTTGCTTATCAATATTGACCTATCGACTGTTGTCATCCAAACGTGATCCCCCAATCTGGGATGTTGACTAAGCAGCGGTTTGTACAGAGCGTAAGAATAAATGTGGTTACTAGTAAATATGGTTGGCCCGTATGGCCCAGAGGTCAAAGGCGCTCTTCTTTTCACATGAGATCGATTCCTGAGCCTCTGGCCCACCAAGCCTTCCATCCCTCCCAGGTCGGAAAATTGGTACCAGACCTGTCATGGAGGATAGCAACAGTGGCTCGATACATCGGTAGGCCACCATGAGTCATTGTAAAGGTCAGATATGCATTCAGTCACTTTCAACGATGCTTAATGAAGTCAAGTCCATGGCGCATCCTTCAGGTATTGATCAACTCCAGAAATCCATTCCTTTATTTCTGGCCCGATACATCGGTAGACTACTCACTCTAACTCACTAGTCACTGTATAGTCCAGAAATGCATTCACTCACCTTTACGACGCATAATGGAATGGAATGCATGGCGCATCACTCAGGGATTGATAAACGCCGAGAGCTTTGTCCTTTATCCTTTTTTTATAAGTAAGTATGGGTAATATATGCAAGAAAGATAAGATAATAGAAAATAGGAACTATTCCGGCAATCGTCACTACAATAGATGCAGACAAGAGCTCTTCTGGGTCACGTCCGTCATTACATCCGTGTTAGATAAGCCATCGATCGAGTACAAGAGGTGCAGAAAAAAGTTATGTGTGGCAAATAGTCCACTAAGAAGTGAATATATAGTATCCAATACATTTTATCCATTTTGCCATCTCCACCGGCGCATGCATAGTCCAATTCATTTTCTGTGTTATGAGCTAAAGTAGTTTTCTAAAACCATTCCATGTGCTCACCAACGCTTCCAGGTAGAAAGAAAATCAAAAAAATCGATAACAATAAACGGAAACCGCAATTCCGCTTAAGTTCTCTGAAAGGAACAAGTTCTGTATTGCCCCAGATCACTTTGGAAGAAGCACGTCAAGAGTTTGACTCGACCCGTCAGACTCCCTGGACACGCATCATTTCCCATATCTGGAAGGCTTCTTCTTTTCGCGCATCTACTCTTCGCTAACAAAAATTCCTTTAATGTTGGTAGTTAGCACTCAACAGCATCATGCGAACAGCTGTGTATCGAACCACCGAAAGAGTGTTGATAACGTTTCACATATATAAATGGCTTATCAGTTACTACGCCGTCTCAGCACAAGAGCTCGCACATGTATTTGCCTAACTGTTCATCATAGATCACTGCGTTACCATACTGTTTTTCCTGGGTGAATTTCGTTATAGACAGATCTGCACCTCCTTTCAGGCATGTCATCCTTTCTTGAAGTTGCCACGACATTACCTTTCAATTATGAAAATGCCAAGGAATATACTAGAAGTGTGGAAAAACCAGCATTCATCATTTCTATGGCTTACGTAGTAACAATTTTTGGTATTCAAGCGGTAATGAAGAACTTCAAGCCTTTTCAGGTAGTTACATACTTTTTAATCAATGATTTACTGAGTTACTGGGACAACTTATGTTCGCCAATGGCGAAGTATCATGGAAGTCCACCACAATTTCCATTTCAATAGTTATTTACTGCTTGAGCGACATTTTCCTTTCATAGAATCTCAAAAGAATTGCTTAAGACTTTTCTAGGTCGTTATCACTTATAAGCTGTTAATGTTCAAAAGATAGCAGTTATTTGTGGTCTCGTTTATACATGGTTGGCCTTCTGGCTGCAGGCCGGGTGAATGGACCGTTGCTGTATATCACAGCTTAACATTTAGCAACACATTGCACTTGGAGTGAGAAACTGGCCGAGAGAAAAGCAAAACAAGTTTCTTAGTGGTGCATTAACACGTGAGCCCCCGGAAATGGTGTTCGTAGGTTCGAATCTGGCCCGAGTTCTGTATGAGTTTTGCAGATATTTCACCATCATTGTGGTTGCCTTCCACATAATATGAAAAGGCCATGAAAAGTTATTGGCAGTAAATGGAAAGTTATACATTGTGAATCAACGCTTACTCAGAATGAGTCGTTAAATTGGGGTTGAGGGCGGAACTAGTTAACACTTGGATACTTGGTTGGCCCGTCCTCACTGGTTGTATGGGCACCAACGCAATCTCCATTTTTTCGCTGTTCTGCTGGTTTAGCCATTGTGGTTCCCTAGTAACCTGAGGTCACCCAGGCCAAGGTCTACCCAGGAGCTAATTAATAGTCGTGTTAATTGAATACGGGGTAGGCCTTGGCCAGGCTGACCTCGAGATTCCAGGGAACCACATTTGCTTAACCAGCAAATCTCCGAAAAATAGAGATTATGCTGGGGCGCGCAAAACCAATGAATACGGGCCGTTCAAGTATCAAGTATCAAGTAAGTGAGTTAATGCTTCCCAGGATCGACTTTCTATTAACCTCGGCATTCAAGTATGAATGCGCCATTTTCTTGCTCAGCAATCACAAGGTTGTTATACAGCATACATTTACTTCCATAGAAAAACGCAAAACTATGCAGCATTAGCTGACGTTTCGGCAGTATCGCCTTCTTCAGAGCCGCTTTTACGTGACTTCCAATTATTGGAAATTACTAACAACCTCGCGATTGCTGAACAAGAAAACGACGCATTCATAAGTAAATTAACTGAAAACTGCCCTTACCTAGCCCGAGTGCTCTCCCACTGTTTGGAAAATTTAATTTACAACAGTGAAGTGTGTTGAAACAAACTAAGGTTATCTACTAATTCTAAATGTAAGTAACATCGCAGCTCACTTCTATACTGAATTTCTGGAATGCATGGTTGGCGATATTCAGCACCATCGGCTCCTGCATGACCGGATATGGACTTTTTTACGAAATTTATCATAGAGGATTTGTTTGTAAGTTTTCAAATAGTCTTGTATCCTGATTACTGCGTTTTACCTGCTTTAAGTGGTAGAAAACTTGCTCTGAAGACTTGGGTAAGCAGTTGCTATTTTAAACATGTGCTTGTTCCGTTCCTCATTTTAGGCCTTTTTGCTTTGTTGTTTCACCAAAAATCCCTTAGGTGTCGGTCTTCGTTCGCATACAAATAATAGTAATCACCTGTAGCCCATGTAATCCCGTTGATCGTCGAGTGACTCGAGCGGGCGCCAGTAAATCTTCCACTTTTCCCCTTCGCGTGCAAGAGTAGCCCAGTGGGTTCTGCTCGCTATACGGACTCGTCGAGCATCATATCTTTCTTCTAGGCTCTTCGTGAAGAACTCTGACCATTCGGTCGGTGGTCGGTGGGTACACTTGACATCCCGAGAAATCCAGTCACTAACTGCTCTTGTCAATCAGTTGTCATTCATACGCATTACGTTTCCGGCCCACCTTATCTCCGACTGTTTGGCGTACAGAACGGCATCTTTGAATTTGATCGTTGACGCAGATCGGAGTTTCGGATCCCATCCCTTAATTGTGCGGAATGGGATGCTCCTAGCATCGTCCTTTCGACTAGGCGTTCGATAACGCTGAGTGACCTTTCATCCTCCTTACACAGCGACCAGGTTGCCGACGCATACCTTATGGCAGGAAGTACCGTTGCGTCGAAAAGGTGGGCACGGAGTTGGGTGTTCCTTCTTCTCTTCACTACATCCTCGATGCTCTTGAAAGCTACCCAAGCCGCTCGTTTCCCTCTGCTCAACTCTGGAGCTAAGTCGTTCAACATGTTGATTTCCCGACCTAGATAGATATAACTGGAGCATTCGGAGATATTCGTTTCATTGAGCGTGAATGCGGCATGCGAAATCAATCCGTTCCTCATGAATATCGTTTTTGTGAGATTTAATCGAAGACCAATCTTTCCACAGACTTTATCGAACTCGGCAAGCATTCCTTCCGCTTGGCCAATGCTTGGTGTTGTAAGTACGACATCATCAGCAATGCGAAGATGGTGTAACTGCGGACCATCGATTTTCATTCCCATATATCCCATTCCAATGTTCACATAACGTTCTGGAGGGTAGCGGTAAATAATTTTGACGAGATGGTATCGCCTTGCCTAACTCCTTTCTTGACGTCAATGATAATATCGTTGTAGAATGGTGATATTTTGGTTGTGAAATTTTTGTACAGCTCACTAAGACTCTATGCACTGAGTTGGGACACCTTGTCTATCAAAGGCTTCCATGACTGCTTCTATCTCAACTGAAACAAAGGCCTTCTGTAAATCGATGAGAGTGAGACAGAGCGGCCTTTTGTACTCTCGCGATGCTTCAATGAGTCTTGTTACCGTGTGGATGTGGTCATCGTACTAAATCCTTTTCGAAACCCAGCTCGTTCACGTGACTGCCCTTCGTCCAGTGTTCCGTCGATCCTGTTTAGGATGGCTCCAGTGAAAAGTTTGTAGACGACAGACAGTAAGCAGATTGGGCGATAGTTGCGTATATCGTGTATGTCATCCTTCTTGAACAATAACACGGTCTTGCTGGTCTTCACTGAGTAGGGACCTTCCATTCAGACAGGTAACGTGTGAAGAGCCGAACCAGTGTGTTTACGAGGACTGGCGGAAGGTTCTTCAGGTGTTCTGGTCTTATCCTATCCGAACCGGTGCTGTTTGATTTTTCACCGGCGAAATGGCATGTCGGATTTCGGAAGGGAGAACCGATATACAACATATCCATCCTCCTTTATTTCGTATGACGGAAGGTGGACGTGGCTATCGAAGAGATCGGAGTAGTATTCGTGAATGGTTTTCTCCATTACCTTTTTGGAGGCTGTAACTGTTCCGTCTGGGCGCCGCAGTGCAATCATTTTGGTCTTGTGATTGGCGAAGCTTCGGTGGGCTTTGCAAATGCTTTTCCCAGTCTCTGCAGCTTCGACCAGTACTGCTGCTCTCTCTTTAAGATCTTCTTTTATCGCCTGCTTGCATTGTTTTGCAATTTCGGGCGTTAGTTCCCAGTTGCCTGCAGCTTGTGCGATTCCACGCTGGCGTATCAGCTCAAGTGCTTCTGGAGACAAACGTCTGTTGGTGGCTTTCGAACTCTCAGCTTTCATAGTGCTAACGGGAAGATGTTGAATGAGCCGATCGTATTCTTCGTCGATGTTATCGACAACGGCATCTTCTCAACGGCCGACTAATGAATTGAATAAGTCCCAGTTTATCGTGGTTCTCGAACTTCGGTTTTTGAATTTGGCGGCTTTTTCCTCTTTCCACAAAAAATAAAACCTTGCAGGAAGGAGACGGTGGCCTGGTCCCGTATAGAATTTTGGGACAACATCGAGATCAAAATCTAGGTTAGGCAAAATCTTCTATTTACTATGATGCGGTCTATTTCGTTATGGTACTCTCCATTGGGAGACTCTCACGTCCTGCGCTGATGGTGGGGCTTCTGGAATTGTGAGTTACCATGAATTGTCTTGATCGCCATTATAAACTCAGATATCCGCTCACCCTGTTCGTTCCATTCTAATCCGTGGGTCCTAATGTGACGTTCTTCTTGATCTAGTCTTGGCATTGAAATCTCCAGTGATGACCGTGAAGAATGTGCGATCTTCTCTGAAGAACTTCTCTAAGTCCATATAGAACGCTTCGACTTGTTTTACGCCATTGTTTGATGTCGGCGCGTAAACAGCAAAGGTTGTCAAAGCCGGTATTGGTCCACATCTTTTCAATCGTAAACGTCCGATTCGGGCTGTAAGCTGTTGGAATGAATCGATGTTCATAGACAAACTCGTGTTGACGAGGACTCCGTCGCCGCCGACTCCTCTATTATCGCATGTTCCGAGGAACAGATCTTCTCCGGTGTCATAGACGGCGTTGAAAGGCTGGCGTCTTCGCGTCTCGGCCCGGCTGATGACGTCGTACCTTATTCTTCTTGATTGCATGAGCAAGTCTTCTATCGAGGATTCGGATGCAAGTGTACGTGCATTGTATGTACAGATCGTCACCATAGTCCCTTGAAATCCAGGCAGCTTCCATTGGCCCTGAGATTTTAGCAGCCTCTCCGTACTCGTCCATCCCAACGCTGCAAAATCAGGGCTCTTTCGGGGTCAGAGGAATGAGGCCCTTTTTTTTTTTACTGTGTTTACCATTCTTGATACTTTGCTGGGCTCTGAACATGGAGGTTGGGTATAGTCACGGGTAATTTTGCAGGCTCTCCCAGAGTGGACACGAAGCTTATTTGTTGTAGGCGACTCCTAACCGTCTCCCATATACTTTCCAGTCACTTGATTTTCAGGCTTTTGGCCGAATTGACTCATAGAATACAATCCGCATAAGCAAAAGCGCACCCGCACACAAAAGCATGAATACGCCTAGCAAATACAGAAAGTATGTGCCAAATCAGCCCGGCAGAAACAAAGAGTCCGTCCCCTGGATCCACCTGCGTCTCAGGGGAGCAAAGGCCGCTTTGGTGGGCGATTAACCCCCTATCCGCACCTGGGGATGCGCCATGGAGCCTCGTGACTAACCGGCTCGAGATCCCTCATATAAGGGAGAATAATAGTAATAACAAGTCAAATTTAGAAAATTTCACTATCGATTTTTACGGTCATTACTCGACAGAGCTTTCCGAAATGTGTGGAGTTGTTTCGATTTTGTAGCATCGTACACCCGTGCTGGTGACTATTTCACCGGTTACAGTGGATACTGGACTTTCTTGTTTACAATGAGTAAAGTACTGGAGTTCGGCGACACTATACTCATCGTCTTGCGCAAGAAGCCTCTCATATTCCTACACTGGTGAGCTTACTTTATAGTGATCGCCTTGGTTCTTAATTGAAAGCTCAAATATTCTAAAGAATATAAGAAACACAGTTTTAACAGATTGTGAACAATTTTTGCCTATAAGTCTAAAGGTCCAGGGACGAATGGACGACTGGAGACTATAACGTCCATTTTCAGTTCAGTGTGCAACAGAACTTCTTTGCGATACTCATGTTCACTAAATAGCTTATTGAAAGCAATTCAGTGCAGGGCAGGTCTGACAATAAAGCTATTCTTCAAATTTAATGATTTACAAAAGACACCTTTTCGGAGGAGTTAATTGATTGGGTACTTGGGTATCAATAAGCTGTTACTCTATTTTTGTCACTATAACGAATCATATTATTTTCTGGGATGTACGGCGACAAAAATCCGAAGTAGCCTCAACGTACGCTCAAGGCCTTTCCAGATGCTGGTAGCAATGTGTTTGCATGATGTACAATAGTAAAACAAGGTGAATAGTAGCATACAAACCATTTATATCAATAAAGTGAGAAAACTAGGTATTTCTACAGGTTTATTGTCAAAAAACCAGCAAGTCCGTTCCGTAAAAGGTGAAGATTAAGCGCCACCCGTTACGGGGGATAGTACAATCGGCGTCTCCACGAATGGGATATGTATATATATAATCACTTTCTATTCCACCGCTACACCACGCGGCTCTTTCGTTTTGCTTTTCTGTCAACTAGTTTTCTATCTACTAGTGCCATCAGCAATCATCCATCAATGGATTGATCTGCGGATCGCGTTATCCCTCGGAAATGATTATAGCGTCTTCGATTCCCATCGCTGGCACCTGTGGTCTGGAATTTTGCAAATATCTCGGCATCACTGTAGTTATATATATATATAATAACTAATATTTAAAAAGATAAACTAGTGAAGAGTGAAGTAATCACTTTATGAAGTCATCAAGCAAGTCTATGAACTTGCCGATTTATGAAACGTTCTCACTAAATTTATCGTGGCGGTTCGAAAGTAAAAATATTGTAGCAGCCCATAAATTGGAAATCTATAGTGGCCCAGTGATAGATTGATTAGTCCACAGAATGACTAGAAACGTAGAGTGGCGCAGCGACTAGCTAGTTGAATAGTCGATGGTATATATCTACCCCACCCAATACGTGCTACACTCTAACGTTCGAAGAGTTGTGAAATAGAAGTTGCAATATTAATGTACTGCAGTAGAACTGTACGTTATAGTTGTCTCGTGTACCCACATCTTCTGGTTCTGAATGGAAGTGCTCGAGATTGATTATCTACTGCAAACGAAGTGCGGCACTAGACTGGCCGCTCGTGTTTGCTTGCTTGCTCCCTATTTGCAACGGGGCCCTTTCGATTGCTAGTCTCACAACGCATGTATCAGACTCGGATAATTAAACTCTTGAGCGTGTAAACAATACGAATAGCAAGGCGATCCCGCATGTTGTGTGGTGAACGCGTTAGCTCCAGAAATGGTAAGAGCGCGTTCGTTCCCCACTGCAGACACCAACGGTTCGGAGTTTCGCAAATATCTTATCACCATTATAATTGTGTGTCACGTAATACGTTGCCGTAAACAATCGTAGTAGACGGCAAATAAAAAATTATCATTGTCAGAAAACAATTTGCAGAAAGTACAAGGAAGGTGCATGAAGAGATAAGAGACCATTCCTTATTTGTTCAGAATGTCCTCTAGAGAATCTATCCTTTCAAAACATTCACGTGAATGTCCACTGATTTTGATGGGCATAAGTCGAAAGTAATGGCGACAGTCAACATTTAGCTAATATATTTAAGCTCACACTGTATCAGGTGTATCACCTGTCGTCCCGTTAATCGTCGAGTGAATCGAGAGGACGCCAGTAAATCTTCCATTTTTCCCTGTCGCATGAAAGAGTAGCCCAGTGAGTTCTGCTCGCTCTAAGGACTCACTGAGTATCATGCCCTTCTTCTGGGCCTTCCGTGAAGAATTTTAACCATCGGTCGGTGGTCTTCCTGCAGTGCGTTTGAAATCCTGAGGAATCCAGTCATTAACGGCTCTCGTTCTTCGGTTGTTGTCCATACGCATGATATGTCCGGCCCATCTTATCTTTGATAGTTCACCGTCCAAAACGGTATCCTTGATTTTTGATCAATGACGCAGGTCGGAGCTTCGGATCCCTTCCTTTATTTGTGTGACACGGGACACTCATAGCATTCTCTTTTCGGCTGCACGTTCAATAACGCTGAGTGATCTTTCACCCAGCTCACACAGCGGCCATGTTGCTGCCGCAAGTGTTAAGGCGAGTGTTCTTTGTTCTATTCAGTACATCCCCGATGTGCTTGAAAGCTCCCTATGCCGCTCGTTTCGTTCTGCTCAACTCAGGAGCTTAGTCGTTCATGATGTTGATTTCCCGATCTAGGCAATTATACCTACAGCATTTAGAGATGTTCATTCCGTTGAGCGTGAATGCGCATGCGTAACCATTCCGTCCCTCATGAACATCGTTTTGTGAGATTTAGTCGAAGACCAGTTTTTGCACAAGCTTTATTAAAGTCGGCAAGCATTCGTTCCGCTTCGCTAATGTTTGGTGTTATAAGATGGTGTCAGAACGATGTGATTAGCAAAGCGAAGATTGTGTAATTGCCGAGCAATGATTTTCTCTCCCATGTTGTCTCATTCTTATGTTCACATGACGTTCTCGAAGTCGGCGGTAAATAATTTTGGTGAGATGGTATCGCTTTGCCCATTCTTTTCTCTGACGTCGATGTTAATTTTCACACTGACCGTCGCTTAACCTCGGTAGGAAAATAATCTACATGTATTTAAATTGTTAAGCGTAGACAAAGTTTCGATCACGATCCCGTCTCGGTACGATTGCGAAGGCGCCACATCGAGAAGGTGAACAACTATAAACTATCTATTCGGATCATCGTCTCTGATGAAAACGAAGACGTCGAAACGTTAGCCGAATAAATATTGTATATTAACCTCGTGTAAGCTCAACACCTCTCTGTGACTGCCCAGGCTTCCATTACTGCTTCTATCCCAAGTCAAAAGCGTAGTAATATTTCGAAACCGACTTTCCTTGAATCTCGGTATCACTAATCAATAACGAAACGAAGGCGTCGAAACGTTAGCCGAAAATAAATATCATTATCAACCTCATGTAAGCTTATCAAGAAAGAATACATATTGATTAGTCACAGCGAAGTTCAAGGAATGTCGGTTTCGAAATATTACTACGCTTTGTGCTAGCTGATAATAACATCGACTTCTACAGGTTTGGTTGTCCGGGAAAAACAAGTTACTATCACACTATCACTGGACAATCACAGCTATCGACCATCAGCAACCTGCATAAAAGGGCATCACCGAGTGAAGATGCCTCATTCGAGGAGATGGCTCGCTGAGGAAGACCTGACTCGACACGAAGGCGAAGCTGCCACGTCGAGACGAATAACAAGCGTGGACCATCCGACTCGAATCATCGGCTCTGAGGAAGACGAAGACGTCGAAACGTTAGCCGAAAATAAATATCATTGTCAACCTCATGTGAGCTCATCAAAGAAAGAATACATATAAGTCACTGCCACGACCGACTTTCTATTAACCTCGGCATTGATCAAGTAATTTTCTTCGTATTTTTGTTGAGCAAACGCGAGGTGTTATTATTCTTTGTTCACGATTAAGCTGACGTTTCGGTGGATTTCGCCTTCCTCACAGCCGCTTTCTATGAGGTTTCCACTAAGTATATANAGTGGAAACCTCATAGAAAGCGGCTGTGAGGAAGGCGAAATCCACCGAAACGTCAGCTTAATCGTGAACAAAGAATAATAACACCTCGCGTTTGCTCAACAAAAATACGAAGAAAATTACATATAAGTCAATAGCCTGCTTTAAATCAATGAAAGAGAGGCAGAGCGTTTGTACTCTCATGATACTTCTTACTTTAGTAATTGTGCTCTGCAGCGATGAAATTCTGGCTTTCTGGAGCCAATTAAACTTCTTTTTTTTAACAAGGCTCGTATTTTAAATACGAAAACAAGTGAATACGAATGAATATGGATATGAATATGAATGCGGGATTTCGTCACATAGGAGGCAGTGGTAGCTGATTTTGGGTGGTTTCATTTCGGAAAAAGAAGCCAGAAATGTTTGAATACATTGGGAACTTCAATGATGCTTAGATATTTGCAAATCTCTGGACGGCAGGTGTCTGCGGTGGAGAACGAACGCGCTATTGTCCTTTCAGGGAGTAGAGCGTTCACCACCACACTGTGCGGGTCCTTCGTTTCCCCTGTCTCTCAGCTAGTTTTCTATCGATCAATGTTATCAGCATTCGACCGTCAAAGGGATTGAATAATAATAGTAGTAGTGATAACAATGGCAATAATAATGACAATAATAGTAAGAAGGAAATCCAAATACCCATTTTCATTATTACTCTTCCACAAATAAAACTGTTAGACAATTTGAATTGCACGTAACAACTCAACGTTATGTTCATTTACTTAAATCTTTGGCAAATGTAAAGTAATTTCCAATCAAGAATTTGGAGCTGTACGGACCGTACCCTTGTCACATCGCAAAGACAGGCATTGAGTTCAATGCAAATTGCGCACGGAAGATTTGAATTATTTCATCACGAAGGTGTTGAATACTCAAAGTAACGAACATGGATCTCTGTTTTTCTTTTAGTTTTTTCTTCCATTACTAAGCAGTTTGTTATTAGTGCAAAGTTTTCGTCACAGGTATCACCATGTGTTGACAATGAACTACGCCATCATATCCTACTCCTATGACGTCGCGTTCAATAGTTGGATAGGGTGGATGAATTTCACTGTTCATTCTATAATGTACGGGTAAGTGGGCTAAGTACGTTTGGCGATATATTTCATTTTTCTCCAACATTAAAAAAACGCGTGATCGGGTACGAGGCCCCTGGCAACCACACACATCAACCTATTGGGGGTATTTTGGAGTCATGATATTCATACGTGGAGACGCGAATGGATATTATGCACACTATGAGCATTTCTAGTTTAACAGTGGGCCATAAAAAATTTTTCACTTGCATAATCATTCAGTACCTAGTCGAAGGAAGATGAAAGTAGGCGGGATGAGATCATCCTCTGCAGTTAGTAGTTTGCAAAAAACATCTTTTCCGATTTGTTGATTGGCCGGTATTCTTATTTTCTGCCTATCGTTTTTTGACGGCAGCATATGATGTGGAATATAACCACAAGGATGGAGAGACCTGAGCAAAACTAGGAAGCCCAGTTGATCTTCGAACACTTGATTACCCTTTCCGGGCTCACGTACCCTTGCTTTTTTTCCTTTCTTTCAGCCATTTGATCACCCGTCAACGGTAATGGTCGCATACAAACGGGAAAAAAAGTAGGTAGTAAATAAACATTAAAACATTTTGATTTCGACTGCAGTCTCGGCATAACGGGTTAAATACCGATTTGTGCTCCTCAGATCATTCGCGTTGATGGGCGACTGTTGAAAACACAACTAGAGCAAAACATTGGCGGAGTAGAAGCCAAAGCGAGTGCCTCGGTTGGTGTGGAGAATAACACGTGAGCTTTGGAAAAGGTGTTCGAGGGTTCGAAGCTGATATAAAAATCAACTGTTAATCAATTTTAATCTCTATGATTTTTCCCACGGAGTGTATGAAAAACAAAAATTCCTGAAAAGCACTTAATGTAAGATGCAAAACCTTTCTAAACACTGCCAGTTGAAGGATATAGTTCTCTCATCATTCTTCTTATTTGCTCACGATATTCCTAGGAATTACTTTGGAAGCCATTCAGATCTGCCTTCAATTTAATTTAATGACATGAAAGCATTACTTCCGCTAGAAGTCTAACGCCCAATTCTGGGTCCAAGATATTCTAGATTGTCGAACTACAGTGCACTAAATTTCGGAGTGCCCATACTCCAACATAATCGGCCAAGCACAGAATGGGTTTTTCATTTCGATCTGCAAGTCATTGCAGAACCAGGCTGCTTGTCTCTGACTATGTCTTTCCCAAAAGTTTAGAAAAAGTTTGAATGCAAAACAGGTGATGTTTCCACTACCTTTATCCCACCCACTAAGCAAGCGGAAACGAGTGAGTAGCTCCAATGCGCGTTTGCCACAGATGGAGTTTACTGGCTTTCGCTGACTTCGATGAAGGATTTAAATGCGACGTTCGGCATTTCGCGGAAGCACATGAACTTTCTACGTCGCTCGAATTCGTGTAATATCATGTGTTTAAAAATCGAAGTGCCAGTCTAAAATTTTAGATAACCTGTTTTAAATGAGTTTTTTAGCTACTACATGTTACGTTCGTTGGGGGTGAAAGTGCCGGCTTGGATTGCCAGAAATATCACTACGATGCAGATTCTACAATTCGTTATTACACTACTTATTCTGTTCCACATTGGATATCTTTCGAGTAGTGATGTTCAAGTCGACAGCCATCCTAAGATCTACTGGTTAGTGAGGGGGTTTCCTTCTCTTTTCCTAAGCTGCTTCATCTTCTATTCACTCAATGAAGAACCGTTACTTAGCAAAGTTTCTAGAATGCGAAAGCATCAGATGAAATCGGCAGCAATCAGTTTCTTAGGAGAAATGACTATTTAAAATTCGAATACATATCAATACATCGGTAGGCCACCGCGAGTCATTGTAAAGGCCAGATATGCAATCAATCACTTCCAAACGATGTTCAATGAAGTCGAATGCATGGCGCAACCCACAAGCATTGATCAACGCCGAAGCCTCTATCCATTTTATTCTTTTATAAAGGAGGTGAAGAAAGCTGTTAAAATGTCATAAAATATGTCCAAGTTATATTTAAGTTATATTTCACAAATAGTAATCATGATAGGACATCATCATTTCAAGAAGTAAAAATTATGTCCCTTATAAAATTTCCATACATACATTACCGCTAACTTACAGGGAAATAGATAGAGCTATTACAATTCAGGTTTTGCGTCTTCATGGAGATCTCGTATGTGGTGTTGTTCGCCAACTTCTATTTCCAATCGTACATCAAAGGAGGTGGCAAGAAATTTATCAACGAAAAGTCTAAGAATCAATAGAATCGCCGTACTCAAAGGGAATAGACAATTTCTACTCGTTCCTCACTCCCTTATTCAGTTAAAAATACTGGCCATAAAAAAATGATCATGAAGCGGTAATAACGAGATAAAAACATGATCATGAAGCGGTAATAACGAGATAAAAACCTTTTACAAGAGCTTGTTAAAGAAGATCATTACTTACAAATTATCCAAAACTTGTACAGTTACTAACTCTGAAGAGAGTGTCCTCCCCACAGATTATCGATCAATATGTATAATTCTAAGGGCCTGTCTGGCGCAGTGGTCGGAGACGCCCTGCAAAACACATGAGATTGATTACCGCGCTGTTGCTCACCAAACCTTCCATCTTTCCGGGGTCGACAAATTGCTACCAGACTTATCTAGGGGGATAACAACACTAGCTCAATACATTGGTAGGCTACCATGTCATTATAAAGAGGAGATATGCATTCAGTTACCTGAGAACGATGCTTAATGAGGTCGAATGCATGGCGCATCCCTCAGGGGTTGACCAACGCTGAGAGCTTTATCCTTTATTTATGTTTGATTTTTATGAACTGCTCTTAGTTCCCAGGATCGACTTTCTATTAACCTCGGCATTGGAATATGAATGTGTCGTTTTCTTGTTCAGCAATCGCGAGGTTTTTAAACAGCAAACATTTACTTCCATAGAAAAACACAATACAATACAACGCTAGCTGACGTTTCGGCAGTATCGCCTTCTTCAGAGCCTGGAAGGGTATACTGATATACAATCTACTAGGCCAAACGCTTCAATAACACTTACAAAAAGACGAAGAACTCTCCGGTAATTACATAATCAACAACTTCTTGAAAAACCCACCGCTTTTTCGTGACTTCCAATAAGGAAGTTTAGAACAGCTGATTATAGTCGCATGTGGTTGACCACTGCACCATCCCACATCAAAAATCGATGCGAACATACAGGATCAGGTCGCGTATAACCTCCGGGCATTCGTCCCTGCTATACATTGTAGGGTTTTTGGTATTTACCCAAAAGGCCTCAAGAAGTTTTCGCGCTGGTGTTTTGGATTCCTGTGCAAGGATATTGACTTTTACTTCAAAAACGTCTCCACTTTGCTTTTGTATCCTATGCGTGCCTAGTGGGGTGCTTCGTCTTAGTTTTCGTATGCCATCTATGTGTCCTTTTATACGGATACACAAAGGTCTGCCCGTTTCGTCAATATGTTCATCTCCGCAATTATTACAAGAGATCAGGTATATCGTACCTGAACTCATACAATCACCGTCGCTGCCGTAAGGGCAAATTACGCAATTTGTTGTTTCATACAGACGGTCATACAGGCGGTTACGAACTAATTGACGACGCAGAGTAGCTGGTGGTATTTCAACTATCGCTACCGATTCCTCTAGACCTGCCCTTCTTAAGCATCGTTTTATAGCTACGCTTACTTCATCGCTTATAAAAGGCAACACAAACGGGATTTTCTTTTGGCCAAGTGTTTCGCGTGGGCGCGTCGTTCTCCTTGAAACTTATCTCGTGNTAGCTGGTGGTATTTCAACTATCGCTACCGATTCCTCTAGACCTGCCCTTCTTAAGCATCGTTTTATAGCTACGCTTACTTCATCGCTTATAAAAGGCAACACAAACGGGATTTTCTTTTGGCCAAGTGTTTCGCGTGGGCGCGTCGTTCTCCTTGTAAACTTATCTCGTGGGGTTACTATTTCGTAGCCATTGGAGATGGCTATTTGCCGAGCCAAGTCGCGCGATTCTGCCTTCAGTTCCTTGGTAGTGCACATAGAGGTGGCTGCTCGAAATATGTTTCTCACAATCGCCCTCTTTGTGTGTGAAGGGTGGGAAGAAAGGAAATGAACAAGAATGTTCTTGTTACTTGGCTTTCGATATCACTTTGTCAGGTAACCGCTACTTGATAGGTTTATTTGAACGTCCAAAAACGGAAGTCAGTTTTCTCTCGGCTTCTCACGGGTGAACTTTATGTACTCGGACTGCTCGTTCAATAATTCAAAACATTTGTCCATCTCCTCCTGCGTAGAGAAGACGACAAAACAATCATCTACATATCTGCAGTAGAGTAGTGGCCGGAGATAGAGTAGAGTAGTGTTTGCCAGAATGAAAAAGTGTGCAACGAAGGAACATTTTTGTGCTTTGTATTTGGAGGATCGCCTTTGGAGGAAGATAGTTGGTGGGTCAATATTCATATGCGATTTTATTAGATCTAATGCCAAAATAACCTTACAATGGAAATTCGAAGATCTTTTGGGTAATTCACATGTCTCAGCTTCAAGAAACATCCGCAAACGAATTCCTTACGTTTTTGATAGTAGTCAAAATGGGGTTGATAATGCACCAGGAAAATCTAGGGTCACCGTGATTGGAGGCGTAACAATACTTGAGAATGCGCGCTCGCTATTAGAACTGGGCCAAACTTTTGCACCATCAGAGCCCATTTCTAAAACGACCCTGCGTAGGATAGCATGCAACCTTTATGAGCTTCAAGATCGACTCCGCTATCAGGCCAAGCAAGAAACATCAAATAGAGATAAAAATCAAGAGGCGGCGACACTACCACCATCTCCTTTCCCAAGAACGTTCTTTAGACAGCAGGACCCTAACGATGGAGTTGACATAAAATTCCGCGTGTTTTCGGACGGCGTTCTCAAGACCCTTGATCACTACCGCGATAGAAAGTTTATCTCTAACCTTACACCCGCACAAAAATGTGGCATGCGGGAAATTAGAGAATTAATAAACTCGAAAACAATAAGATTGTCTGTTAGTGATAAGAGGGGAGAGTTCGTAGTTATCCCTTGCCAGCTGGATGTTGAGATAACAGAGGAACATCTTAGTGATGCTACTCTCTATCGCCCATCCTCTGAAAAGGAATATAAAAGTCAATATCGAAAGCTAAACAATCAATGGTCAGCTTGGCAAAGGCTGCGAGTTTAAAATCATCGGTTATTTCGCACTTTAAAATCGATAGACCAACATGTCCCGTCCTACACCTACTTATTAAAACACATAAGTTGGTATCACCTGATGATCATGCGTCAACCAATCCGTCATCATTTAAGGTTAGACCGATCATCAGCTGTGCAGACGCGCCAACGGATAGAATAACCTGGTTTTTAAGCCTGATACTTACCCAGTTGCTTAACCACATTCCAGCCCACCTCACAAACNCTGCGAGTTTAAAATCATCGGTTATTTCGCACTTTAAAATCGATAGACCAACATGTCCCGTCCTACACCTACTTATTAAAACACATAAGTTGGTATCACCTGATGATCATGCGTCAACCAATCCGTCATCATTTAAGGTTAGACCGATCATCAGCTGTGCAGACGCGCCAACGGATAGAATAACCTGGTTTTTAAGCCTGATACTTACCCAGTTGCTTAACCACATTCCAGCCCACCTCACAAACACCCAAATATTCCTAGAACGTCTACGCAACGCGTCTCCCAATAACGCGTACGTGATGGAGTCTTTCGACGTTACCGCACTGTACACCAACGTATCGAATGACTCCGCAATGCAAGCCATCTTCGAACTTCTTGTTGAACATGAAGGAAGAATAAATATGCATGGCTTGTCCATCCAGCAGCTAATGGCTCTCTTAAAGGAGTGCCTAAATTGCTCGATTTTCAGATGGTCTGGGAAATATTTCGCACAAATAAGGGGGTTGGCAATGGGACAGCGATTGGCACCAAGCCTTTCCATTGTGTTTATGTCTAAGATAGAAGCCCCTGTTCTCGATCTCCGGCCACTACTCTACTGCAGATAAGTAGATGATTGTTTTGTCGTCTTCTCCGCGCAGGAGGAGATGGACAAATGCTTTGAATTATTGAATGACCAATCCGAGTACATAAAGTTCACCCGGGAGAAACCGAGAGAAAACTGGCTTCCGTTTTTGGACGTCCAAATAAACCTATCAAGTAGCGGTTACCTGACAAAGTGGTATCGAAAGCCAAGTAACAAGAACATCCTTGTTCATTTCCTTTCTTCCCACCCTTCACACACAAAGAGGGCGATTGTGAGAAACATGTTTCGAACAGCCACCTCTGTGTGCACTACCAGGGAACTAAAGGAAGAGTCGGGCGACTTAGCTCGGCAAATAGCCATCTCCAATGGCTACGAAATNCAATCCGAGTACATAAAGTTCACCCGGGAGAAACCGAGAGAAAACTGGCTTCCGTTTTTGGACGTCCAAATAAACCTATCAAGTAGCGGTTACCTGACAAAGTGGTATCGAAAGCCAAGTAACAAGAACATCCTTGTTCATTTCCTTTCTTCCCACCCTTCACACACAAAGAGGGCGATTGTGAGAAACATGTTTCGAACAGCCACCTCTGTGTGCACTACCAGGGAACTAAAGGAAGAGTCGGGCGACTTAGCTCGGCAAATAGCCATCTCCAATGGCTACGAAATGGTAACCCCACGAGATAAGTTTCAAGGAGAACGACGCGCCCACGCGAAACACTTGGCCAAAAGAAAATCCCGTTTATGTTGCCTTTTATAAGCGATGAAGTAAGCGTAGCTATAAAACGATGCTTAAGAAGGGCAGGTCTAGAGGAATCGGTAGCGATAGTTGAAATACCACCTGCTACTCTACGTCGCCAATTAGTTCGCAACCGCCTGTATGACCGTCTGTGTGAAACAACAAATTGCGTAATTTGCCCTTACGGCAGGGACGGTGATTGCATGAGTCCAGGTACGATATACCTGATCTCTTGTAATAATTGCGGAGATGAACATATTGACGAAACGGGCAGACCTTTGTGTATCCGTATAAAAGGACACATAGATGGCATACGAAAACTAAGACGAAGCACCCCACTAGGCACGCATAGGATACAAAAGCATAGCGGGGACGATTTTGAAGTAAAAGTCAATATCCTTGCACAGGAGTCCAAAACACCAGCGCGAAAACTTCTTGAGGCTTTTTGGGCAAATGCGAAAACCCTACAATGAATAGCATGGATGAATGCCCGGAGGTCATACGCGACCTGACCCTGTATGTTCGCATCAATTTTTGATGTGGGATGGTGCAGTCGTCAACCACATGCGACTATAATCAGCTGTTCTAAACTTCCTCATTGGAAGTTACGAAAAAACGGTGAGTTTTTTCGAGAAGTTGTTGATTATGTAATTACCGGAGAGTTCTTCGTCTTTTTGTAAGTGTTATTGAAGCGTTTGGCCTAGTAGATTGTATATCAGTACACCCTTCCCAGCTCTGGAGGCGATACTGCCGAAACGTCGGCTAGCGTTGTATTGTATTGTATTGTGTTTTTCTACGGAAGTAAATGTATGCTGTTTAAAAACCTCGCGATTGCTGAACAAGAAAACGGAACTGCTCTTATTCAGCTGACGTTAAGTTCGCACCAATTGCTGTTGTTTCTGTAGTTTACTGAGCAATACTTTTTATTACTACCCTGCAACGACTCACGGTGCAAGAATATGAAAGGCGTTCGCGGGGCGAATAAGAGTGAACAATTGCTTGTAACGCATCCCAAACATGGTTAATTAAACCTTTATACGTATATACATACCATTTACACAACAAGGCAATGAGATTTGTAATGTATATACGACAAATTACAAGTGCGGTGGTTCAGTGGGTTTTTCCTAATAAAATGCATTAACAATAGTGTAGCCACCAATGTAACGGCTCACAGCATAAGAATATGGCAAGCGTTCGCGGGAGCGAAGATTTGCTTGTAAAGTACCTATGAGCAATGAAGGTATTTAACTTATGTTAACAACACAACGTAATTACATGAGAATCGACGATAACATTAATGTATAAGCATAATAAGGAAACTTGTCTAGTTTGCAAAATATTGTATACTCTATTAATTTTTTTTCAATTAACAAAGTTCGCCTTAGCCTAGGATGTGTTGGCTAAATTTTAGAAGCGGCCACTATTCTGGCGCCGTAGGAATTGAAAGCGGCTCGTACAGTCGCTGAGGAAGTGTTTAGGAACTGTTTATGATTTGAACATGGTTTAGGAGCAGTGTTACAGTAATTCGAAAGTCTCTTACAGCTTTCACCATCATTTCAAATAATTATATAACAAGATCCTGCCAACGGTCCACTGCTTCATAGTGGCTGGGAGGTGTTCCTGGGTGTCACACTGCGATCAAAACAAGGACCCACCACTGTCCCGGTATCAAACTAGTCGCATGATGGTAAATGAGCCTTTAGACCTCAAGGGCGGCGACTATTTGTGGTGGTGACGACCTGGGGCAGACTTTGGCCAGGCTGACCTCGAGATTCCAGGGAACCACAATGGCGCTCGCCCAACAAGTGAAGACGGGCCATCCAAATATCCAAATAAGTATATGGCATAAGAATTGAAATAAAATGACGGTTGTAGTTCTGAAAAGCCTTTTGCATGTCGTTCGTCGTTATCTTCGCTTAGAGAAAAACCTACGACCTTTGCCAAATTGTGTGGTGCACATAAAACTGATGAACTGTTAAATTCCTACGCTGTTCTTCCCCTCGCTCAATTTTCTCTAAGCTGTCTTGTTTCCGAATAATTACATTCTGTGATTTTCACAACCGAAGTAGTTTTACGAATTAGCGAAAATATGCATTGACTTAAATGCATGAGTGCTCGAAAATATCGCGATTCCCAACAAGCATGGCTCGGCTTGCAACTGTAAATCAATTATTAGGATAAAAATCATCACAGATCTTTGCCAACAAGACATTATTTCTCTACTTAAAAGCTAAAAAGCTCTCGGCGTTGATCAATAACTAGGACATGTGCCAGGAATTCGACTTCACTAAGCATCGTTAGGGGTGAGTGAATGCATATATAGCCTTTACAATATTCGCGGTGGCCTACCGATTTATCGAGCCAGTGCTGCTATGCTCAAACAGGTTTGGCACCAATCTGCCGACAACGGAGCAGCGGAAGGCTAGGTGAACCTTAGACGTGGGAATCGATCTCAAGTGAAATATAGGGCGCCTCCGACTCCTGTGCCACAGGCGCCCATTACTTTTCTACTTAATAGCGACAAAATTGTAATTTTTGGAGCTGAAGATGAATTTTGCAGAACAGTATGCAATGATGACTCTGAATGCATCGTTGGTGTTTACGGATGCCAAGCGAGCATTTCGAATTCGAACAACACAAGCCTTGAAGAGCCTGGAAGGGCATACTGATATACAATCTACTAGGCCAAACGCTTCAATAACACTTACAAAAAGACGAAAAACTCTATGGTAATTACAAGGTCAACAACTTCTCGAAAAAACCCACCGCTTTTTTCGTGACTTCCAATGAGGAAGTTTGGAGCAGCTGATTATAGTCGCATGTGGTTGACGACTGGTGGAAGGGCACGAAAGAAACCGCTTTAAATCACCGACCAGGTATCCCCTCGACTTCACAATGTTTTCAATGAACCAGCGAAGATCATCTTTGATAAAATTACATAAGAATAATTCCCAAGACCGACTTTCTGTTAACCACGGCATTCATTGATAATTCGATGTTTTTCTTCAATAAGCAGACATGAGGTTGTTATTATAGAATTTATTAGGATACAATAGCTGACGTTTCGGCGGTTTCGTCTTCTTCAGAGCCGTTTATTTGTTGTAGGTATTTAAGTTAACTGGTGGATAGCAGCCGCACAGAGTAATGCATGAGCGAGGACTGTGCCTGTGTCAGTTCACTGGATTAGCCTGAGGTATGGCGCCAGGTCACGCGTGATGACAAGACACTCCGCCTTGCGGTTCATTTTTGGATTTTTAGAATTGATCCAGAACGCTTCAAGGGTTTTACGCGCTGATGTTTTCAATTCGTGCGTGAGGATAGTGACTCCTACTTCGAAATCTTCTCCGTTGTGTTCCCGCATCCTATGCGCGCCTAGTGGAGTGTTTGGTTTTAATTTAGATTTACCGACTGTTCAAATGAAGCTGTTTCTTATGCTAATCAAATTTATTTGTTAAGTTTTATCTGCTAGGGTTATGAAAGTGTTTGGCTGAGTAGATCGCATCTCAATTTTTGATCTCAGAACTCCAAAATTCGTACACCGATGACCCAAATCTGCGCAAACTGTCCATCTGAAAGAAATGTCAATTTGGCCTTTCCAGGCTCTGAAGAAGGCGAAACCGCCGAAACGTCAGCTATTGTACCCTAGTAAATTCTATAAATAACAACCTCGTGTTTGCTTATTGAAGGAAAAATCGGCAACGAACCTAGTTAAGCTCAGGCCTCAATTATAATCACAATTTTGATCACGATTTGGACCCCCAGATCAATCCCGCTGACGGATGATTGCTGATGGCAAAAGATCGAAAGAACTAGCTGAAAGACAGGCGAAACGAAGGACTCGCGTGGTGTGGTGGTGAACGCGCTACTCTCCGGAAAGGACAATAACGCGTTCGTTCCCCACCGCATACACCTGCGGTCCGGAGTTTTGCAAATATCTCAGCATCGTTGAAGTTATATTTCACAATGTATACCCTGCCGTTAAAAAGAGGAGGCAGTAAATAATAAGTTGAAAAAGTTAAACGATTCTTTAATAAGTCAAAAGACCGACTTTCTATAGACCTTGGCATAAATAATGAATATATTTATTTACACCTACTTGATATCTGATACTTGGACTGCCCGTCCTCACTGTTTGTGCGGACTCCAGCACAATTTCCATTTTTGGGAGTTTTCTACACCACCACAAGCAGTCGCAACCCTTGTGGAACGGAGGGAGATTTGCCACCATAAGATTTTGATATATTGGTTCACTCTTAGCTAGGGAAACGCCGGACACCTTCTCAGCTTGGGAGACCCTGCCTGGGGGATGAATCTCCCCCGCTGTACATCGCAGTTCGACATCCAGAAACACCTCCTAGCCACGATGAGGCGGTAAACCGTTGGGAGATATTTATTTATATGTTCTCATAAACTGATCTCGCACTCACACATCACGGCTCTGAGGAAAAGCTTAAACAAAAGCTCAGCATGAACATATAAATAAATTTAACTAGACTTCGACAACTAAATCCATGTGGCGGGCACTTCTTTTTGATGATGGCTGATTTTCCGGTGAACTGAGTTGAAATCAACTCATGCCAATCTAATTGTCGCATCATGTACGAGTGGATGTTTCATCACTCAACTGCTCTCTTCTTCAGCAGATAATAAAGCCATGATAAAAATTGAAAGATTTACTATAGAATGAGAACTGGTGCTCATTCGCAACATTTACCTGTGAAGGTGGATTACTACAGAAAGTACTGAACTAATATAACAGTCCTTCATTCTAAAGGTTTCACCGTAGCTATGAACAACCAAAAGGTTTCAATTCACCACCTTAAAGTTCAAAGTCGTGTTTTAACCACACATTGTGGACAGAGTATAAGCTCACTAGAAGAGAATCGTCAAGGACATCGTTGGAATTTCCAGAATACTCTGTGGGAAGCTGTTCCATTCAAATCAAAAATCTGTCCAACAGAAGAACGCCTTCCTCGGATTACGATGGTTTTACGATCGAGAGTACACAAAACATAGAGCTGAAGTTCCATTCAGGTCGAAACCATGCTCCCATCGATACGGTTACGAAGCTACGCCCTCTTCTTGCGCTGCCGTTGGCCGGCAAACTCGTCCAATGGCATCGGGAGCTCTTAGTGTCTTGTGCACTCATTTCTCTACTTTGTCTATCTCGGTTCAGTAGGACCCAAATCTAGTCTAGAATGAGCTGTTTTTCTAATCCTGTTGTCGGTAAATGTATGACAATGTGTCCTGAGAGTGAGATCCATTTCCGACAGAGTCATAACATGGTCCATCCGATGGAAAAGTTCAGAAGACATGACTCAAGGTGTCCTAAAGACGATGTGCATAGGATGGTTAAGGAGTACACGCGTTCAGCTGCTGGTTCTAATCATCGTCAACCCGACCTGCTGCGTCCGCCTGATGTTCTTCTGAAAACAGTTCGCTACTTGTTGAACTTATACAAAGCGGAAAAAGCTTCACAATACAGCATAGTGTTCTCATTTGTTTGTGATCGCTTAAGAGCAGTTCGACAGGACATGATCCTTCAGCATTGCTCCGCATTGGATTCATCACGTATTCTTCAGGAGATGATTCCTTTCTACTTCGATACTGACTACGTTTGCAGGAGAAGAAACTGTGACACTTATGACTGGAAACTGCATTCAACTCAACTTGAAGAGTGCCTTTCTAAATGGATCGAGACGGTAGCTACTATTCCACGTCATTTCGTGGACACTCGACTCATATGCTCTTACATTTTGTATAATATCCCGAACTATTCTGCTTTACTGGATCTCTACAACTGGAGGGAATTCCTCGACAATGGAACATTCGACGTACTGCGCGACATCATCCTAGCTTTCCGCTTGAATAACTACGTCCGATTCTTCCGACGTCTCCACGAACTTCCTTCAGATTCCATCGTTGTTGCTGCCGTGCAAGCCGTTCAGATTCTTCGACGTCGTGCCCTTCATGTCATAACCATGGCCTATAAGTCTCCTAATAACAAGTTACCGGTAACTGCTATAAGTAAATGGCTTTATCATGATCATGTTTCTGACTTGCTCAGATGTTTCTCTGTTCCTTGTTCAGATCTCATTCTAGTTTCATCTATAAATATGAACGATAGTGATGATTCCTATAGGCTTCTTGCTGAAATTGACTGATTTCGTTCTCGGATGTCTCATGTGCTTGAGTTTCTATTGTTTTGTTAGATGATAAAAGAGCATTTAAGGATGGATGTTATTATGATTGCTGATATAGCATGGATCCAGAGAGGAGTAGCGAAGAGGAATCCGGACAAAATCCGATTGGATAATGACCAGTTGAAGCAGCTTATTGAAGGTATGCCATTTTTGTTCTAGGATTTCACAAGTCTAGTTAAAAAAACCTATGGATATTTTTAAAGGCAACGTTCTACTATTTCAGTCTATTTTTGTCATGAAACATGGATTAAATAGGTTTGGATAACACTGTTTCCCTCGTCCCGTTAGAAGGGCGAAAAGTGGAGCATGGCTCTAAAGAATTGTCCTTTTATAAGTGATGATATAATAAAGACTTGTTTTTTGTAAATAAATAACAACAATGACCTTAGGAAGATCAGGTGTTTTATCAAAGTTACATTGGATCGATGTGTAATATTCAGGGGGCGTTTCGGAATCATCTGATCTGGAAAGCGACGTTGGTGAAGTAAGTGGAACTCGTTTCTCGTAAGAGTCGCGTAACCTACTCTTCTTTCTCTTAATATTTTAACCGAAGTTTAGTCCTAAAGCAGTAAGAACAAATCATATTGCGAATTCGATATTTTCTTCTTTCATTAAATGTTTAGGAGAGAGTTGAGGAGTCCACATCCAGTGAAAGCGCTAATCGCACTAGTACAGAGGTGCGTCCATTAGTTTCGCTACTTGAACTATAACCTCAACTCAACTGGGTTCAATGCCAATTTGATCTCCCCAGATCAATCCCGTTGACGGTTAATTGCTGATTGCACTGATACATAGAGAAGTTAGCTGAGAGACAGGCAAAACGAAGGACCCGCGTTGGTGTCGTGGTGAATGCGTCAGCCCTCGGAAAGGATAATGTCGTGTTGGATCTCTACCGCAGACACCTGCGGTCTGGAGTTTTGCAAATATCTTTGCATTATTATGTTTGTATTTCACGTAATACTCTTTCATAAAAAGTTGTAGTAGGGAGCAAATAAAAGCTGTTAGCACTTCATAAATTTAAGCGTAAATCTGGAATTCGAGGCTCGGCTTCTAAGGAAATCACTGAGAGCTGTGGTGATGCGGAGGAGAGAGCGGATCCCAGGATTGATAGCAGTTCAGGGTATGTTACTTCAACTTTAGTATTTCTAGCAGTTTGTCGCAATTTGACTAGTATCAGGAGAAAGCGGCTCCTTATAAATTCATAATCCGAATTGTAGGTGCTTACGTTTAGGAACTATACTTTTGTTTGGATTGATTTTACGGTGCTGCGTGGATGCCAGCGATGTAAACAGGGTGTATTCATATTCTCCGACATGGTCTCCCAAACTGAGAATCCGGCGCTTCCATCAGGAAGCCCAGAGAAGAATAAGCCAATACCAGGTCATACCACTGTGCTGCTATTAAACTAATCGCATGATGGTAAATCTCTTTCTGATCCACAAGGACGGCGACTACCTGCGGTGGTGACGACCTCAGGCAGACTTTGGCTATGCTGACCTCTGGGCTCCAGAGATGCACATCGACTAAACCAGTAGAACTCCGAAAAGATGGAGAACATGCTGGGACCCGCACAACCAATGGGGCGGGCCGTCCAAGTATCCAAGTTCTTATAACAACATAAGAAGAAGCAAAGAATAAAATAAATGATGGAATAGAGAAGTGAAGAAACGATTAAATGTCTCAATGACAAGTCTGAATTGGATGACGGCTCGAAAGGCGAGCCATAGTTCTGGCTTCATGTGTTGATGGAATCTGATATTATTCAGGTCATGATCCAGGATCATGATCAGTTTATCCTCAAACCTCGGCAGATATAACGACAGCAATAGGAGTTGATCCTCACGGCTGCACTATTTGCTTTCACTTTTCCCCGCAATGAGTTCTTCACTAACAGTGTGTTGAAGAAGCAATATTTCCTTGAAATCATAGGGACACATTTTCATAAAGTATTTTGCTCATTGTGTTTTGATGTTCACAGGGTTCCGTGTAATTCAAATTTTCGTTTCACATTCTGTAGTTCCGTTTCGTTTGTAGAATGCGAGGTATCGCGATGTATTCATCAAATATGGACGATCCCTATGTAACCCTACACATTGATAGCGATGAAGAAGAAAAAGAAGAAATTGAAGTGAAACCTGAAGACAACATGGTAGCGCTAGCCAAGGTCCAAAGGGTATGCTCTTGTTTCACTTTCGTTTTACTTTCCGTTTTTGAACATTCCAACAGTGACACTAAAACGTAGTGTTTTGTTAAGTACTTTACCATTAATGTTCTCTTAGTGGGATTTGGTTTCACATGCGCGTGTGACAAATTTCGCTATTGTGATAAGCTGACAAATATTGTGAATCGTTTAAATTGTTGTATATGCATGTAGATGTGCATTTTATGTATATATATTATATATTATATATATATATATATGTATATGAGCGTGCATGGCGCAGCGGACGGAGGCGCTCGCAATACATATGGGATCGATCCCAGCTCTCCAGGCTCATCGTGCCCTCCATCCCTGTGGGCTCGGCGAATTGGTACTAGACTTGCCTGGAAGGACATCAGCACTGGTTCGATACATCGGTAGGCCACCGCGCGTCATTGTAAAGGCCAGATATGCATTCAATAATCTTCAACAATGCTTAATGAAGTCAACTGCGTGGCTCATTCCTCACGGGTGGACCAACACCGGGAGCTTTATTTTTATCTCTCTGTATATGCACATATATATACGCTCCATTTAATGTATATATATATATATATAATGGAGCGTATCCGTTGTCCACACTAACTTAAAGTATAAATAACACATGTTGACTCAGCGGTTATCGGTTTCACAAGCTATCGTTTTATTTTCTCCCTAACTTATTGTGTACTGGTTGAGATTGGTTTTCCATGAATTCCTAAGACAGCCTTTTAAACGCGTTTCCCTTATAGGGTGTTGACGCCATTCCGAATTCTCATCGCTTCACTAGACCAAACCGGTGTTTGTGTTATTAGTTAAAGAGATGTAATTGTTGATACCAAATTTGTCTGGTGTGATAAGAATATGCACTTGATGCATCGGTCATCGACTGCACAGTGTTTGTATCGTATAGGCTAGATGTATATTCAATCACCTGTACATAGTGAAATGAAGTAGAACACAGCGCATCGCTCAATGGTTTAATCAGCGCCAAAGGCTCTATCCTTTATCTTTGCGTGATTACTGTATTGTCCAACCTCCACTGTTGAACTAAAGGGTTTCTTCTAATAACCTATCACTTTTTGTACTTCATCTCTTGTATCATTTGCTATATATTTACCACCAAACTACTTGAATACCTAAGCACTCCGTCTTTGCGAAGAACCCTCTGGACTGAGCAAGTTTTCAGTATAACTGGTAGCTGATAATTGTTTGTTTCCCAAATTTCTTTCTCCTCTTCTCTCTTCTTTCCTTCGCAGCTCGTCACCACAGTTAGTGGGCTTGTGGACCAGGAGGTGATTTATCGACGTAGGATTATTTCTTCGCAATCGTTGACATTTCGTGGCGTAGGCTTAGCTTTGAGTAACCCTTCAGACACGAGCGTGAGACAGTTTTATGGGATGAGCCTAGGTTACTCTCCAGCTACGAACACTGCATGGCTGTAGTGAGGCAATAAAACGAGAATGCTGCTCATAAAAAGCTCGTTATGTTTTATTTTAATTATATAGCACTGGTTCGCATTTCGTACTGTATACAGTATTTGTAGGACAGCTATACACTGGAGGTATTCATATATAACGAGGAAAACAATGACTGGTACTGTCATCACGATTGCCTTCTGGATGCACCACCTCTTTGTCTGGAACCAATTCAGTATGATCCAGGAAACAGCGAAACGGAAAAGGTCAGTTTACAATTTATAGAGGAGATCTGCTAAACAGATGATGGATGATACGATATCTGTTTGTACTTCTTGCATGTAAGTTACGCATATGACAGCTGATAAGCGGAATAGCTTCCATCTGTCATCATGAGAATGTTCTTTTTTGTGAAGTATTCAAAACGCTCCTAACTTCGAAAAGAACTTTTAGGCATTCAATTTATAGACTTATAAGTTGTTGCAATGTATTTCTTTTAGGTATTACCTTCTTGTATTGAAAAAACCTTAGAATTTTTCATGACATCTTTAAATATCAGTTGAAAGTTTTGTAAGTTTTTCATTATTAGAACTTGCAGTAGAGTGCTTGGTTGTTTAACAGTTCGTAGAAGAGACGAATGATGCATGTTGCGGCACCTTTGCTGGTTTGAGTCATATGTGTCACATCGTTCTTCAGTTGTTTTGCCGCGAAGACATTTTCTTTAGTACCCTTTCTGTTATATCGATAGCTTCACTACCACATATATTCGGCTAATCGTTGTTCGTTAAGACCTATCTTCTACACGTTATGAACAAGAAAAAAAACGGATTTTGGGAAGTTTTTTTGGTGTCGTTCAGTCCCACAGCGAGACTTTTGCTACTTAGCACGGTACTTAAATTAGTCTATGCTGTACTGGAACACTCATGTTTGGCACTTAAGGGCACCTTGCCACGATGAGATGCTTGACCATCGAGAATACCTATTTAGTTGCAGAATATAATTGTATAATGGGCGCTTGTGGTGCAGTGGTTGGAGGCACCCTGCAATGCGCATGGGATCCATTCCCGTGCCCCTGGCCCACCAAGCCTTCCATCTTCCGGGTTCGGCAAATCAGTACCATACTTGTCTGGAAGATTAGCAACGCTGGCTCGACACGTCGTTAGGGCGCTGCGAGTCATTGTGAAGGCCCTGATATTCATTCAATCACGTCAAAACGATGGTTAATGAAATCGACTGCATCGCGCACCCCTAAGGGATTGATCAATGCTGAGAGCTTTATCCTTTTTTAGATGTAGAACACATATTCGGTATCAACAAAACAACTGACTGCATTGTATATGGAAGGCTGAAGTTTTCGCAATTTTCATTCTTCAGTTTATCTTCCTGCATTATCTGATTTAAAGTGCTGTAGATCATCAACCTTTATCTACCATAATCTTACACTCATGTTGTAGACGTGGTGTTAAATCAATTTATTTTGTAGTTGACAGTTTTCAATTAACCCTTTTCACATTCGTTATTACAGACATCATATTCTGTAACCCCTACAGCTCAAACCTTGTGAAGTTATTATTGGAACATTCTAGATAGTAATGTTTCCTACATTGGCTGCGCGTATTTGTCATCCTTTTGGCGGTTATAGTCGAACATTTGGAGTCGTGACATTTAGCTGGCTTCCTATAATGGCCAACACGATGTCGTTGGTTCTTTGAGTGTTAACCTTTCCTTTGTAAAGTGTAGCTGTCTGAGTTTCCATTTTATCTGTATCGATCAAGCTTTAACACATACGTAGCGGTTTTCTGGACATTGTCACAGTAGGTCATCCATGTGTTCACAAAATATGTCTAGGTGACTAGGTCGAACAGCCGTGCACACCTAAAAGAGACATGTACCTAAAACCTGATAAGGAAGGATCCTATGAAATTATGTTTTACACTGGTAAAATTAATAAAGCCTTGTAAAACCGAGAACTTCTTACAACAAAAGTGGGAATAAATTTTTTTTAAATGAAGAGTGGAGCATCTACAAATTATATTGCCAAGGTGGACGTGGTAGAAAAATAATTAAGTGGAAGGTAGTGGTGGAAAGTGAGGAACAGTGGTAAGCTCGCAAAAATGTGGGCACCATGTACAACGTTTAGACTGCTGTTGTAGATTACTCCTCACTATTCTACAACAGTTAATCGGGTTCTAGCAGTGAATATTCTAGGAGGTCACCACCGGCTTATTTCATACGATGAACTTGTAGCATTGTTGATTGCTTGTTTTTTTCAAATCGCTATAACGAATCATATTTATCACATCTAATGGACGGGTGGGCGCGTGTGGTACAGTGGTCGGAAGTGCCCTCTAACAAACACGTGGAATCGATCTCCGCGCCCAGGCCCACCAAGCCTTCCATTCCTGGCGGGTCGGCAGATTGGTGCGATACTTGTCTGGGAGGATAGCAGCACTAGCTCGATACATCGGTAGGACACCGCGAGTAATTGTAAAGCCCAGATATGCATTCAGTCATCTCCGACGATACCTAATGAAGTCGAATGCATAGCGCATCCCCCAGGGTTGATCAACGCCGAGAGCTTTATTTATTTTGTTTCTAATTGGAGGGGTATATAAGAAACTAAGTGAAGCCAAAGAAGAACTCTATATATTGTTGTAAACTGACTTTCATTTAAGCTCGATATGACTAATAAATTTGCTTTCTTCCATTGATAAGCCAACATGATATTGTTGCAAAAAATTTATTCTAATAACGTTTCCATATCGCCTTTTTTGGTCACGTACGGGTTGATCTCAGTCGATAGTCCACAGTCGTTCGTCTTCGTGATGTTGGATCATAGTTATATACAGTCGAATCTTCATGAGTGGGTCACCGCTCTAATTAAGTAACTTCACTGGACGATGCCCTTTTTAGAGGACGGTTGTTGGAAGAATCATTGTCCGTTGATAATATCTTGCTTCTCACCCGACTTATGACATAACGCTACGTATTTTGCTAAAACCGACTAAAAAGAAACTGATAACATCGCGGCTAAATTGTGGAGAAGGTGTTTTTTCATACCGTAGAGGCAGGAATGGCTCGGTGAGATGACTTATGATGAAAAATTAGACATCGTGCAATGCGGCAGCCAGTATAGATTAGATGTATTTCGGATTGCGTGGGGAAGCTTTGGTGAATATGGCTCATTTCTTGCTTCAGTACACTCAGTAACAATTTCACACAACCTAATATATTACAGTGGGTGCCTAGTTTTTCCACATTTTTCAGGGTAACCTGATAGCAGTGGGGACAATGGAATCCGTTATCAACATTTGGGATTTAGACATAATGAATGCTGTTGTTCCTGTAGTTAATTTGGGCTCCAAAAAGAGAGGTAACGTTTTAGATTATGATTTTTTTTTACTTCTCGACGGTTGTAAATCCAAATTAATCCTGCGAGTGGCTAATTCTATTTTAGAGCGAAGGAAAAAGCGTGATGGTAGAGAGCAGGGACATTCAGATGCAGTTATTAGTCTTGCATGGAATAAAATTGCGACTCATGTATTAGCCAGTGGAGGTAGGGTTGAACAAGTTATTAGGTTTTGGGAAATCTTAATAACCATTTTGACTACGTTAGTTACACTTCAAATTCAAGAGCCTTCGAACTTCGCTATACTTGGGGTGTCATGATTGTTTTGTTGAATTATTTTCACCAAGGTTCTCAAAAACGACACAGTAAATCAGGGTTTTCTCACCGAGCTCATCTCACAAAAATCATGCTGTTTACGTGCTGTTCTTAACCTTTTTAATTTGACATAAATCTGTCAGTGTCTGAAGAATAATTTCTTTCTCTTCAGTGCTAAGCGATTTCCAGTTATCTGAATTGGTTCCAGATTGTTTCTAAGCCCCCGAATTTGTTTCGAACGTTGAAGTATGGTTATTATAGCACTTAAATCATTGCCATTGTACATATATAGACCAAAAAAACGAATTTTTGTAACCGACACTTTATAGAGTTGTATAACGTTCTTAATTGACTAGCATTCCCCAGTACATGGTGCCGGTGTGGGAGAGCCTTAAAGAATACCCATGATCTTAACGCTGGACCCACGAGATGTTTCGTATACACAGGCTTTATGCGAAAATAGCTCTTTCAACTTTAGAATAACGTGTTTCACTAAAATTAGATTTCACTAGCTGTAATGAAATTCGCAGCATTCTACAGATATTTTGCTATAAGATACGAGTTATCTCATTTCACCGAGACGAAATTCTGATTTTCTAGAGCCCACGACATTTTTTCCTGAACATTGTTCCTAGAGAGATTGCATTTCGACCAAGAAAACAAATGTCTAAAAGCAGGAATTTGTCTACCAGGACATGATGATGCTTCCCAATATATTATTTGCTTACATTTGACACTCTTGCGTTGAAAATTTCCAGTTCTTAAATTTCATTACCGTTCTTCTGGAATTTTTAGGTTCAAACCTATTTAAAACTGAAAGAGCATTGTAAAAAAAGCATACATGTGGTTGTGGTGATAGAGTGAAGTATCTTCTACAAATCTCTCTAGGTATCAATTCATAAATTAATCTACGAATCCCACCTTGAGCATTGTGTGTTAACAGTCAGGACAATTTCCAGGACCGACTTTCTGTTAACCTGGACATTGATCAATAATTTACTGTTTTATTGATGAACAGATACGAGATTACTACAATATTTGTCCCACGCTTACAAAAGGTTTCGGGGGATTTCGTCTTCTTCGAGGCCTGGAAAGGTCATATTGATGCAATCTTCTGAGTCAAGTACAGTCAGGACAATATTTTGTAACTAAGAGTTTGCTGTTGGAATACAACTGTTTAGTTGTTATTTCCATGAGGAGAAAATTTGAGAGCATTGTTTCGGGCTCGTCGTGCTTTTTTGCTTCAGTGTTTCCCATATTGTCCGTCCTGTAGAAGCAGGAACGAATAAATGCTTCAAGTAAATGTTATTAGGGTTTCTCAGGTTTGATCGAGAAACAATTCGGTGAGCATGCTTATGTTTTCAAGATAAAATATGAAGGGTAATGGCATTTAAAATTTCCAGAATCCTTTCGTTGTGAGAAGTTCTCTAGTCAACGTTTCTTAAGAGCCTGCAAAAGTTAGTAGTGGGGAGGCTCGAGTATGGAGAGTGTGCTTAATGTGCAAGGAATTTCCTTTCCCACTAATGCATGATTAGTGCATTGAGCTAGTTCAGCGATGTGTCGACGAGAGCGGTCATCAGTAGGGGACAAACACGGCTACATTATGATTTTAGCGCTTCCTCTCGTTAGCTGACTAACTGGTGAATTATTGTCTTAGTGGCTAGAAGCAAGTATTATAGTTAACTCGATTATAGAACTCATGGCTAGCATTTGAGGAAAATATGCAGTGATTTGTATTCGAATGCTTTTTGCCCTTCGTCTTTGATGCGCCCTGGTTGAAAACACTTAAAGCTGTGGAATTATTAATGACATCAACAATGGACGCAATACGTTTGTTTTCCAGAATAGAGCTTCCGTATCGATTGAGCAGGAACTCTTCACAACCGGTAGGTTGTGGACCAGATTGATTAACAACAGCCGTTCGTAACTAAAAACAACATATCCATCTTTTATGTGAACTCCAAGGATGCTGAGGTATGAGCAAAACTCGGAACCTCACATGGGCTTCGAACGCGTGATTAGCTTTTGCGGTAGCTCACATGTTATCCAGTATGTTAACCGAGACCCTTGCTTCGCCTTTCTCTCAACCATTTTTTTTGCTCTAACTTTGCTATTACCATTCGACCTGACTTGTGGTCCACAGATCGTCCCCTTGATGTGTGATTACTCATAACACCGTTAGAGTAAAAAATTGGCTGAGAGAACGGCAAAGCAAGCGCCTTGGTTCGTGTGGCGGATATTACGTGAACTCCAGGAAAAGGTAATGCCCTTCTGAGGTCCCGAGTTTAGCTCATATCTCAGCATCCTTATGGTTATTTTTCACATAATCCTCTGCCATGAAAAAAGGTTAAGCAGTGAATAAAAGTTGGAGAACCATCTTTTATTTTGATGGCACTCGTTCCTCTAAGTGGACATAGCTTAGTGCCTCTGACGCATAACGGCGATAAAACTTCTCGCTTTTTCCCATGGGTAGCGCTGTAAAGTGATGTCCGTAAAGTATTCATTTTTGAAAGACTAACGAAGTAATTTATTGTTGTACCTGGCTATATCAAGAAGAAATGTAAAGTTGTCAGTAGGGTATGTAGTCAGTAAGTTTGGTTTAATGGTTTTCTTACCATTTTTCCAAGCGTTGAAGGCGATTTCACAAAAGCATTAGTAAAGGTGGAGTGCAGAAAGAAACCTAGTTGAAGCGTTCAAGAATAGTATTTCGATTATTGCGTTGAGTTTTTTTTCCTAGATTGAATCAGTCATAGATTACGTCCACTCAACGTGAATATTTGAATAAAGAAATAGGAGCAGGTTTATCGTCTTGCTTTATTTGTAAAGCACACATTCTACAATAATTACTTCCCCTTTCCATTGATCATGACGCAATTCTCAAGGTTACCAGTAAGATCTACACTTGCCTTCGTTATCGCTGTAACAACCTGGTTGTCTCCTTTCGCTTACCGAAACGAAGATCGTAGAACCCTTCCCAATAAGGTTTTTACTGAGTATCAAGGAGTAGTTCTCTGAACTCTGTCTATGTAGATGTGGGATTTCAGTCGCGGAAGCACGCATGCATATTCTTTATCCTAGCCGTTCCTAGCAGGAATGTCAAAGCATTTGACGAATTACAGCCGTGAGAATAAGTAGCGTTTCGTAAGCATGATGAACGAGCTCTATAGTTGAGTCTGAGGAAATAAGCGGTCGGAGGATCCTGCAGAGGGATCAACGATGTAGATAACAAACAACTCCGGATTCCCTTTTGTTTTAATGTGTGCCTCGGAAATTTTATCGTTGTCTAAATAGGATGCATGTACAATCAACGTTTTTGAACGTGCTTTCGAAGCGATAGTGCTACGTGTTCCGCGTACCATGCATGAGATACCGATCTTCGTTGAAATTTGGGGTTTCTTGAGCATACTCAGATGATTATGTGTGCCGGACAAGTGGCGCTACTTAACGACCTCAATTGAGCACGAGCTATTAACAGGTGTTTCTCATGCGATATCACTGAGCAAAAACCTAATGCTCAAACTTCTCTTAGTAGACTTCGATCGAAATTGTTAGAGTCGCCAATAGTGGAAGTGATGAGAGGTGAAGCTCAGCTCTGTTCCACCAAGCTTTTTAATGTTTCAAAAAAAAAAGCATCTGAGAATGTGGTGGTGAAATGGTGGCTAGTATATAGTTCGTCGAAATCTATCCCTCAGGATTCTAATAGAACGTCTTTTTTATCCTGTATTTCATCGTTTGTTTTTCAATTACGACTTTAAGGTGCGGATAGGCAGATCTTGCTGTGGGATTTAGATGAGGCTAAAGTTGCTCAAGTCATTCCTGAAAGGACAGGTGAGGTAGGTCACCGTCACGGTTTGGCTCATACAGTTGAGTTCCCAGTTTCCAGATGGTTTTTATCTGTTTAGTGTATGTATGGGGAACATTTTCCTTTATTTTTCGTCCTTATGATTCACGTTTCTGTTAGGAAAGGTACCGGTTCTTTTTAATACAACACTTTTGGTACATTTTTTTTGTCAAAATAAACCGCACTGCTGTATATGCTTTACATAAATAAGCGTCAGTGGTACATATTTGCTATTAAGTCTTTTTTTTGTATTTTATTGGACAATCAATCATTTGGCCTTTAGATACAATCACTGTCATGGCATCCAGCTGAACACTCATTCATCCTTGCGGGTACATTAAGCGGGACAGTGGAAGTCATTGACTGCAATGAGAATACAGGAATTCCATCCGCCTCATGGAGTTTCGAAACACAAGTGGAACAAGTTCGTAATACTTAGATGTATGTGTGGCTTTTGACCTGGTTTGTCATGTTCTTTGATCTAGGTAAAGTGGAACCATTTCAATCCATTTTCTGCTTTCTTCGCAACAGACGACGGTTAGCTGCTAAATCGATTTGTTATTGGATGGACAGAGAAATCTAAATCAGGATTCCAAAACTTTCAGGATTTTTATATCACGTTGACATGCGAAAACCTGGTGAAATTATTTGGAGAGGTCAAGCTCATGATGGTACTGTTGGAGGTCTCACACTGTCTCCGACTGTGCGCGGTCTTTTAGTCACAGTTGGTCATGATCATGTATGTTTTTTCTTATTTTTTTCAAGTAATTCATTTGAGGTCTTGCCTTTTTAGATGATGTGTGTCTGGAAAGTTCAAGATGACGGTGCTCTGTTGAAGATTCATTCTGAGCGGCAACACATTGGTGCCTTACATGCAGCTGAATTTAATCCGGATGTACCCACGGTGTGTTGTATAGGAGGGTCAGCAAATGATCTGGTGCGAATTGTTGATGCTAGTAAGATAGATGTTGTTCTACGACACTTCTCGTAGTTAAGTACATACTTGACATTTTTGTTGATTGGAAAGTACACGTTGCTTGTTGTTGTTAGAATTTATATCTTGTTTATGTTAAGAACTAACAGGAAGGGATAAAAACAGATAATCTGTTGGCTAGACCAATAATGTTGAGAGCGACTACACGCGAATGATTTATTGAGGTCTATACAAAAAATTTCATTAGCGAAATCGACCTCAGAATCCTATTTAGTAACAAATCATGATATGGAAAGAAAGTTGATCCTGAATAACTCAAGAAGATATCTTTTTGAAGATTACCACTTCTGTTCTTTGACATATTAAGGAGTTCGTGTAGCGCTGTGGTTAGAGGTGCCCTGTGATACAAACGTGGTCGTCTTAGCTCGATCCCACATCCCGGGTTCATTGAACCTCCATTATTTCGGGGTAGGCAGATTGGTACCATACCTGCCTGGGATCATGCGATCAGTGAATTAATACATCGGTAGGCCACAGCAAGTCATCGTAAAGGCCAGATATGTGTCCAATCACCTCTAAAGATGGTTAATGAAGTCGAATGGTTGGCGCGTCCTTTAAGGATTTAATACCTTATTTGTTTTACTGATTTTGTTGTTTTTTTTAGAACATTTAGCATAAAATGGAGCAAATATTTGACATAAAATGCATTGTTTGGTATTTACTTTACTCGGAAATGTGAGTGTTAAACAGTGCTGGCTTCACAGGTTGGTAGCACAATATTCGAATCGCTTATAATGAAACTTCTGGAATCATATATTCTCTTTAGATAGACGATTAACTTGAAATATCAGCCTATGGCTTGTAGTTCGTTAATGTTGATATTGGAATACATGACGAATATAAGTTTACCTTGTATATTAGATACAATCATCTATGCGAAGCTTCTCCATGCAGTTTTGTGTGAAGTTCTAGAATATGACATTAATTCACCGCCATAATCCTGCTTAGTTTGGGAGTGTTCAGATCTTCCCTTGCGTATGTATGTGTGATGCATCAGTGGAGTTCTAACGAAGTCGTCGCTATTCGTGCTGTTTTGGAAAATTCCGCCTAACGCATCGATTGGGGCACTTCTCCGTCGTCACAAAATGTTGCTCAACTGGAACAATGACAGACAGAGTTCAGTATTACGTCATCTCCTGTTGAGAAAACTGATTTTCACTGTTAAGGAATCCATATGAAATTGACGAGTAAAGTTTGGCACCTTCAACACTGGTTGTTTAAAGAAAAAAAAATAGCTTGTGAAAAGTCATAGAAATATCGGAAAGCCATTTACATTTCAGTCTGGAGTTCTAAATCTGATGTTGAGATGGCAAAAGAAAAGTGAGAACTAAGGAAGAAAGAAACATGGGAGACGAGTTGTCGTTGAGAAGTGTGACAATAATCCATATACAAATAAGTTCTTTAGGACGGAGACTGATAGAGGCATGAAAATCTTATGGCACATGTAGATTGCTTTGTATCTCCCATCGTTGATTTGGTACACCGGGTGATCGAACAAATCGGTAAGCTGGTTAACTCCAAAACTGAACTGCGCACGTCAGTTTAGTGTTTTACTTGGCGCACTTATCTGCTTGAGTGGTGGAATGGTTCCCCATCATAAATTGCGGAAAATCGTGCGAATACCAGCAAAATGTCGGTTTCCTGTGTATTTTACCAGATCGGTACGATTTTCTTTTCTTGGACTCTCGAAGCTCAGTTTGAGCTTTTTGTTTTTTGTGTAAAGAAACATTGGTGTTTTGTTTGTTCTTCAGCTTCTTTTTCTAACAGAAAAACTTCCCGAAATTTTACGTTCCTTCAACTTCCCACCTTGGCAGGGCATTAGAGCTAATTTCGGTCGGTCATCATGGAGAATTTGGCTATCCTTGCTCGGATTACTTTTTCCGTTCAAGTCAGATTGCGATTCTCTCGTGTGATATTTCATCTTGAAAAAACTATGGTAATTTGTAGTCGATATGAATAGGAACTTTTCCAGATTTCGTCTGACCAGGAAACACCACTAGACGAGGTCAACTGTGTTAGACTACAGAACTACTAACTGGCTTCATCCATGTAAGAAACAAATCTGGTCCACAGCTCACTACAAGCAACCAAAATTACAAAATCAAAGTCGTTCATGGAACTGCAGTTAGCTGGAGAAACTAGCACAACAAGCATAAAATTCTGTCCGCTTTAAGTGAATTATTTGAGACCACTTGGTCGACCACAAGAATGATTTGGTGGGAGGTTTATTCGCCTTTTATATTACCGTCAGCAACGATAATAGGATTTTGTTCATATCATTTCTATCACCTGTAACAACGTCAATAATCGAATCACTTGGACGTTAAGTCCTGCATCGCATTAAACGCATACATAAATTCTATGGTGTCTTTGTCAGATTTAAAGGTCTTCAGGCTTAAAACTTTCAATGAATTGGTGTCAAAATTTCAGTTTTATAACTCTTCATGTTGTCACATATTTATTCAAGCTTTTGGCGAGAGGATAGCAAGAGATTGGTTCGCCATTGTTGCTGCATATGCAGGTTTGACTGGTTTGTCAGACTGTTATAAAGTAGTGTAGATTATTTGTCTGGTGACGAACTCGATTAGTTCTCCATGTACAATACTAGCTCCTTATATAGTGACATATCTTTGGTCGAATCGACGTTTAAGACACTATCCACATACAAACGTATGAGTCAATGTGTCCACGTAGGCACAAGAGGTACCACATAGTTTATGCAGGTAGTAAATGGGAGTCTATTCTTGACGGGACTTGAGTTGTAGCACAGATATACGTAATAGCTTCTCTAAGGCTTCCAACCTTCTAGTTACTACCTAGCTTGAGACAATGTGATCTGGCGACTTAGCGACTCAAAATCACTCACCTCAAGATCTGCCGGTTTTCATCAGCGAATATATTCGTCCTCCCACATTCAACTTCGTTACAGGCTTTTAACATTACTATGATTAGGAAGTGACTTTTTTTGTTATCTCTAAATAAGTAGGCCCTGTCTCATATCCACATATAAGCTGGGGCCCCTTGGTATAATGAGGAAAAAATAACAAATCAAGGGCTTATATTTGAAGCACAAATAGTTCGACTCGCCTACGACTTTGTTTTGTCACGGTTTAGGGTCTTTTAAATTTAATTTTATAGAATATCCTATGCTTGCCGTTGCCGTCGATATGAGCCAGAAATGAGGTTTTCAGGTGTTGTACATTTTGATGTTGGCGAAACGCTTGATATGTTCCCAAGGGAGACATTCTGCTAGCAAGGAATCGATGCCTCTTCCCTGGTTGTGCCTTCATCTAATTTCATCCTTTTCAAATTCTTTAAAGCTTTTCAGTTTTCTTTGGTTTTTTGACTTCTTTTTTGAATCGAAAACTAAATAGCCTGTTCATAGAGATTAGTTTGATATTCATTCCTCAGTTTGCTGTAAAAAAGCCTTCTACACAATTACCAAATTAAGCTATTCGGACAATCGTTCCGCGTTACCATGCCTCTCAGATTTCGTTGAAAATCAGCCCTATTATCCAACATAAACTTTATCGCGTTTTCCCTCCTCCTTAATAGGAATAACTTCCTCGTTAGCGTCTTAACAGTAGTTCAACTTTAACAGATTAGGGGAAATATAATCTATATATGAATCATAGATTGTCGAATGGTTTCCTTTTTGAACTTTAAGCGTATATGCACAAATAGGCCTTTTCCATCACGATCAAATTGGACTTTCCGGAATCCATGGGGCATTTCTTCGCATTTTTTTTTTGGTTTTTTTCGCTTTTCTTCGTCGAAACTCGTCATTCAAACGATGAAACGATTGAAGAAAAGCGATGTCGTTTGTCAGAGCATGACGATGTCCATGAATGGGTCATAAATGTGGGCGGTTCCACGTTTTAGTTTAGAAAAAAGACTGATTTTTTATTTCAATAATTCCATGCAGCAAAAGGGTACAGTGCCTTTTGTAAGTTTTGTAAGTTCTTATACTTTTAAGCATTCTAGTTGTTCAAAAGCTACCAACAATTACCGATTAGCTTAAGCCTAAGTGTTCGCCAATGTGTTAACGAACATTTTCTGTTTGGATCACCGATTCATTCCAAATTTTTCCAATGTTCTAATTCCTCTTGTTTTCTAACTTTGATCTATATTTCCTTGTATTCTTTCTTCCATATTCTGGCAAGTTTTTCTTTCCATTTGAAGGTGTAGAGTTTATAAACGCCCGAATATGCCAAAGTTGAAGAACAACAAGTAAAACGGTTAGTGGAGGTTTTTGAAGTGCACAACAAAGTGGATTATGTTGAGGAGCGAATTGAATCAGGGACTTCGTCGTCTCTTCGTGTCTTCAGGCATGCAGGTTTTACCCAGCAACCTGGCTCTCGGATTTCTTTTACCAAACCAGCGACCACGTTCTACTAACAACCCAATCAATGACTTTAATGAAATAGTGTTCCATGCTTGCGTGCTTCGCCGCTCCAAATATCTTTCTTCGTATCCCTCGGGTAAAGATCTCCGTAAAGTTCGGATGTGACCGAGGAATTGGCCCCTTGCTTAGAGCATAGACATCTTCTGGATACTTCGCATCCGCTTTGGGAGAGCAATTCGAACGGTAAAACCACAGACATTGCAGGATCAAAGATTGTCGTCTTAAATTACTCCTCATGTGTTTGATGTGACGTCTTTTTTCTTTGTAGACGTTCACGCGTTCTTCCAAACTTTTACGCATTCCTCACATTTCTCACGAATTTCGTGCATAAGGCGGTGAAAAAACTGAAAAAGGAATAGAAAATAGGTTACAGTGTATGTCTCCCATTAACGATTTCTTTGATCTTAATAAAAAGAGGATAAAGCTCTGGGCGTTGATCAATCCCTTAGATATGCGCCATGCGTTCGACTTCATTAAGCATCATTTGGAGGTGATTGAATGCATATCTGGCCTTTGCAATGACTAAGGTGTATCGAGCCTGTGCTGCTATCCTCTCATACAAATCTGGTATCAATTAGCCGACCCCGGAGGA